TAAGGGGTGCTGGTGAAATTACAGGCACACGGGACTTGTCAAGTTATGTCTCAGTGGCAGTGCCCTCAGATCGTTGCGATTTAAAGCTTTGAGAGACACTGCAACTATTGTGGACAGGCATTCACTTACCCTCAGGTGCACGACTTGTTAGTCCCGTCACATTGTATTATTAAAAAAAAGTTGCGTCGTTCGGTAAGGGATTGCAGTTGAGAGTAAAATAGAAAGAATCGACGCATCTCAACTCAGGTCTGTTAACTAATATCTTCATACTCATTTCCAACCCCTACGGATTTCACCATCCACGATAAATATTCCCAGTGGAGCCTGACACTGATGTCGCGTGATTATCAAGAACCGGTATCAGTTGTATAAGGCCTAATATATGGTAAAATTGTTACTCTTTTATTATGAAGGACTTTGTGGTACCTATAACTCTCGTTGTGATGGACAACATTTTATGAAGTTATTATTATACTTACTTAGTCATCTTCGTAAGACAGAACATATGAGACATTTCCACCTTGACGTGCTTGTAACTTTAACCTACTGATCAGAAGCTCATTTGGAAGTTGCGGGAACGGCCAAACCCACCTAAATATGGTTATTGAAATCGTGAACAAAATGATAAAATTAATTCCGCAAAAATTACGACAATTTTGGATTTTTCTAAATTTAATTAGTAAATATAAATTTTAAAAGATTGCAATATTTTTTATAATAATTTTATATTTTCTAAAAATATTGTCGACGAAAATAGACATAGAAAGAGAAATTTCAGTCTGTGTAATGAACGTATCGAGGATAATATATTCTCGATGAATGTACGCAAAAACTTGTAACGATTACTTCGAGTGAGAAGCTTCATAAGTCTCTCACAAGGTGTAACTTAGCCAAAAAACCCAATAATACAAAGGTCTACAACAGTTACATACAGGAATTCGTAAGATCTGCCGACTCGACCTTGAGTACAGTTGGCTTGGCAGAGCATTGCCCTGATTTGGTGTAGTTACAGGTTAGAGTCCTGTCAGGTCGAAATAATTTTTCTTAGTGTTAGATCTTTGGCATTAATTATTATAACAAACTAGTGGAGTTATTTCACAAAAATAATAGTTATTAGACAATAAGTTTAAATACACAGGTAACGTACAATAAAAGCTTAAATACTATGAAATAAAATGAATATCGAGGGCAGAGTACCTACTAAAAAACAGACTTCAAAAATTCGTGGACTTACGGAAAGTGCGCAAAACCAGATTCATCCCCTAGTTTACCACCCATATAGGTGGAATATTTTCTTCAAATTTAAATGGGACCAATACTGAGGTACCCTATTTTCAACAAAAAAGAATCATCAAAATCGGCTATCGCATAACATAGTTACAAAAAATACAGTCGAATTGAGAACATCCTCCTTTTTTACAGTCGGTTAAAAATCAATATAACGATTATTTTGTTAAGTAAAATAATATGCGAGCGGCGAGTGTGATACGTTAAGATCAGGAAATCTGATCCTGTTGTCAGTATTCAGAAATTCTTAAGTAACACATTAAATAATATAAGTAGCTACACATTTATACTGGAGCTGTAAACCGTAAAATGTAAAAATCTATGACCGAGTGACCGCTATTTTCAGGTCTGCGTGAAAATGACCCATTTAGTTTATTAAATTATGTGGTTTTTATTCAAAGAGAGAGTGTAATCGTCACTCATGCATTGTTGTAGAGAAACTAAAAATTTACTACAAATAGTAATGTGCAAAAATAAGCGAATAATGCTCCAAATCGAGTTGTCCGCTTAATACTAATCGCTCAAGCGTGAAATTTAATAAATCGTTTTCATCTCGTGTCGGATGATCACAATGGCAGCAGGTCAACTCGAATATTGTACGGTCTACGATGCGCTTTTACTTTGATGGTGGCCATTATTGCCACCCAGCTTGGCCCTTCTTGATTCGCAACCAAGTGTCGGGTGTCGATACTTTTCGTTTCCCTAAACTTTCAAATTGTAAAAGTGTTCTAGTATTTTGATAATGGTGGTGTCTTTTTTGATGATTTTTATCTTATTTGTATGTCTATTGTCACTTAGCCAGTCAAAGTCTACTTTAGAAAATCAGTTATCTAAAAGTGTTGTTAACAGTGATAATCGATTAGTAGGTTTTTGTAGACATCATTAATCACGTAGGTACAACATCAAAAGTGCTTTTATCATATGAGTCATAAAAATATATGAAACAAATTATACGTATGTGAAAATTTATAACTCCTATTTATGCATAAAAACTTGTTCTAAAGTGGCGACCACGTCAAACATCACGGCAAACGTAGAGTAGGATGTCCTGCGGCAAGATGGACTGCAGCGGCTGGACGCGGGTGGCACAGAGGGTTTATTCCCCTTTTATCGCCCAACATCCGTCCGAAACAATAACTGTCAAATAAGTCAAACTCGACCAAATTAGAAGACGCGTAATACGAATGAAGCTTCATACTTGACATTGTCTTTTGGTTACTTATTCGACAGTAATTGTTTCGTACAGATGTCGGACGGTGAACGCGAGTTCACCCTCACGCCAACTCTCCCTGTCCTGGGGATCTCCCCAGGACAGGGAGAGTTGGCGTGCTCAGGAGGAGGCTTATGTCCAGCAGTAGATGTAGGTATGTAAGCTGATGATTTACACCATGTATGCGAAGTTATTGATTATGTGTCAAAATTTTATTCGGTATTTTAAAGAAGTTTTGAAAGAATTTATTTATTTATGCTTACAATAGACACTAAAATTATTAGTTACACAAAATGTCAATTTACATGAGCAGTTCAGCCTACAATCAATCCAACAATTACAATTTATACCACTGTGGTTTCCATTGTAACCTAGTTCGAAATACTTGTTAGGTATAAGATATTATTAAGACTGACTGCGGTTGACTACAACTTTTTTTTTAAATAAATCGAAATGAATAAATTATTACGTAATGATTTAAAAACAATTTTCTCAATGTTTCTTGTCGGCGGTGTAATGAAGACGAACACGTTCGCCTCTTGAGTTTATTACTCCTAATACCTGCACGGGCGCAAGATTCCAGTTTTATATTACGCGTACGCAGCGTTAACAACCACATGTTCTAAGGTCTGCCTATTAATTAACCTTTGAGAAGTTAAGTAGATAATTCCACTTTAACGCCTCTTTCTGATCACGCGTCCTTTTTTATTCTTTTAGCTAAAAGTTGTTGACTGATGGCCTTTAGGACTTTTCTGAGCCAATACGTATAACATAAGTATCGAAATTCAAGTTAAATATTCCATGAATTGATTTGAAGGAATTCGTGTAAGCCACATATTCATTTGTTAGTAGCGTTAATGGAAAGTTTTTAAAGTGATTTGAAAAAGCACTTGATTTAGTAATTTTTTTTGGTATAAAATATTTATATAGTACGCTCTCTTATAGTTCTGTGTGTAAGGCGTATGCATACTTTTATTTTATTATTATCCAGGTAAGTGCGTACCGGTTCAGTTTATTTGTTGTTCCGAGTTGTGCCTGAATAACTGTTTGTATTCTAAGTATATTTATTTAACAGGCTGTTGTGGTTGTAGCATTTCATTATTCATATTAACCGTGCAGATTATTTAGCTGTTGTTATTACATAAATTCCTATTGGTAGTATTGGTTTTTTTTCTTTGGTTACCTTACTAAGGGCTCTTACACATAAATACGATACGACATCACGTCGTGCTACGACGCGGCATCATATCGTGGAAATCTACGACGAGCAACGTAAAAATCACAACGCAACGTGTCACGACGCATGGCACGACATCGTATCGTAGAAACTCACGGTGCGTTCCCCAGTGACACATTCATTTGTTATTCAATATTCGTGTTCTTTTTGACGTTACCTTTTTGCAGCTTTTATTTTCCGCAGCATTTGTCGTCACTATGGAATAGGTACGAGGTATTCCTTAGGAATTAATATTTTTTCAGATCTAAACCGAGTAGGTATATTTGTTTCTTGAGACTAACCACTCATTTTTGGGACTTGGCAACTTTATGTCTCAGGGTACGGGCTTAGTGGCAGTGCCCCTCAGATCTTTGCGATTTAAAGCTCTGAGTGACACTGCAACTGTTATGGGCAGGCGTGTCGCTTATCATCAGGCGCGCGACTTGTGTTCGTTTCGTCACTTGGTAAAAAAGACCTATTAAATGTTCCGTATTTTCGCAAAGGATTGGAAATGTCATTTAGAAAGGAAAAAGAGCAACGCGACCAAATCCCGACAAAAAGAAGAAACATTTTAATTATTTTTACATTAAATCCATCGTTTCGTACTTTTTACAAGTCCCATAGTCACAGCACGAAAAAAATAGTTTGATTATGAGTGTATAGCGAGCGCAGAAACCTAAGAAATCGATAAGAAGTGTTTTCCTTAAGTACTAGTTTAAAGCTAATTAAAACTTACCTCTTATATTGCAATGTTTACTCTAAAACATAAACAGTTTATCTAAGAAACACCGCTACTATTTTTGCATTTAAAGCTTACGTTACCATAAACGATTACTTTGTAAGTGTACTGCGTCGGCAAGAGACCGCGAAGATATATTATTTGGACGTTATGCTCTAGATGCATTACACAAAATCAAACATACTCGTATCCACAACATAAAGCAAATAAATGTGATCATACTATAGGTATCAATAGTCAATCAATATTATAGATTATTTAATGCATTAATTGACTACTGTCGTATTCTCTTGTTTCCGTATTTGAACCCAACGTACACGCTGAAGTAATTACGGGTGCGAGTAGAGCCCAATTGACCTGTTTGACTACACAGATATTGATACTACGAGATACTGGCTATCATAACATTCAAAAGACTCAAGCGAATCTTATAATCAAAAAAGTTTTTATTAAAATTTGCTTATTGGTTGAATCCGAAAAAAATACAGCATGGATTGATCTGTGCCTCGTTTATACTTAAGCTCACTAAATGAGTGGTGAAGACTTACCAGCAAAAGCAGCAGCAGCGCGCATTCGCCGCCGCCCGTCATGGTTGCGGTGTGCCGCACTCGAGCGCGGAGCCAACCGTTAAAGCTATCTGCCCCGATTACCTTACTGATGCTAAAAAACCTTCGACTAGTCTGCTCTACGTAAACAATGCTCACTAAATATAACAAAAAATGCAATTTTTCACTTCCACAATAACTTAAAAAAAGTTTGAAAGCAACTGTCAGTACGAGATACTGCTAGCTGTAACTCGTAAGCCGGTAGCGTTTTTGCATCTAGAGAAATGGTAGCGCCGGCGGTTAGTATAATAAGTGCGATGCGGCGCGTGGTGCGCCTGCGACGTCTCGAGACGGGACTGCGCGGTGGCGCGCTCGGCTTGCTCGGTTGATGATGGTGGAACAGTTAACCATTGCTGGAGAGGGTACCACCTGTTCTGTACTTTATCGTTCTCACGACACGATCATCGATCCGCGCGATTCGATGATCGTGATCTACATAGTCGATTGGCATCGGATTAGGGGGAATTGGGTTCGACAGTTCGCGGATGCGTTCGGTACCGTGTCATTCGCGTGGAGAAATCGCTGAATATCATCGCTTGAATGGCAGTTTCATGCTATGCCGCTCGCGATCGGGTCATCTAGTTCGATGTTATGCCGGTCGCGATCGGGTCATCTATGTTGCGTTTGCGTTACAATCTCTCCATCAGCCTGCTGACTGCGGCACAGGAAGAGATCTCTCGATAAGATAGCTAATAGCTTTATTTTTGAGCGCACTTCATTAATGACTATGTACTGCGACTATCAATTCGATTCAAAATTTAAACCGCTATAGAAAGTCAATCAACTTCATAGATGAGCACTGATAAGATTCTTTTTAACTAACTTATAATGATTAAGTATTTTCACTCTGGCTCATCTTCACGCGTTTCATTTTTAGTTATAGTTTGATCTCAATATCAACTAATAATTTATTGCTCTGTTTGTTATGGTTTCTGTTCCTCTTGTTGTAGTAGTTGTTTTTCTTTGTTTTGTTTGTCTCAGCAATCAATGGCCGCAGGCGGAGCCCGTCAACGGTTTTTTGTCATTTATATTGATTCAGATTGGTCGTCCATTGATGAAATTAAATCTTAGCCTCAATAAGAAAATCGGTGTGTTACAGATACCACTGATAGGTAATCACGCGAGCAGGTGGTTTCGGCAGATGCTCGGGCGCAGCTAGGCGGTGCAAAACCGTGACCGAACGGTCACGCCCTTCTTTGCTTATTTAATAGCCTCCAAGTAACGCCGTTGCATATTTAATACATGTTTCAATATTAATTGCGCTTAGATGCCGCCTTACACGACTACTTACACAAATGTGCTTAAGAAATTAGAAAACAAATGCTAGTGTAACTTTTGAATCTTAATTATAACCTACATTTAAAAAATGCATATGAGTGGAGTAATGAGATTTTGGTCTTATATACTTACAAGTATTACGTATATATAGCTATTTAGTTTAGGTAAGTACGGCAGGCCACACCTAAAGATGTACAATGTTTCAAAATACTTTTTTGAAAATTGTATGTCAAAATTACATTTTACTAAAGTGGTGGTTTATGTAACTGAAGTTGACAAAAACACATGCTAAATACTTTAATTGTATCTATAATTGAATAATAATAACTTTTATTACTGGAGATCCGCAAAATAAAAATATAGCTAATAACTAAAACAATTCTAGAAAACCAAATTAAAACCTTTTGCAATCGTCGCTACAACGCTGTAAAAAATTGCACAGTGTTGGACGCTATCAGCGCTATCTAAGTCAATTGCTTTGTGCGAGCTTCCATCTTCCTTCCGTCCATCACACGATGTCATCCACCCAGAACACCGTTATTGCATTGCATAGTATATATGTAGAGGTATTAGTGGAATTTCGATGTCAGAATACTGTGTGTTGCCAGTCACCTTTTACGCGGATAGTTGGGTTGAGCTTCATTCCTTAGAACGGATTTGATATTGTTACTACTTGGCTTACAAGAAACTGCTTCACATTAAATGCGGAAAAAACTAAATACGTTGTATTTACAATAAAAAACACTGTTTCTTTGCCTATCCATACGCCATTAATAGCGCATCAATGTTCAAATTTTTCAACTGGTATGTGTGACTGTTCTCTTCTTACTTGTACCCAAAATATAAAATATCTTGGTATTATATTTGACAACCACCTCAGATTCAATCGGCACATTCGCGAGGTTGCACGGAGACGAAGGAAATTAATTTACATCTTCAAACAGCTTCGTTACATTGCTGACAATATACTTATGAGAATGGTATATATATACCAAAATACTTATTGATAATTATAATAGAGTATCCACAACTAGAAGATCGTATGCAGTGTGTAAGACAAATATGGTTAGTACTTCCTTTGCATCGAGGTTCTATCATTTTAGGAGTGGGAGATTGTACGGACAACGGCACAGCAGACTACACATTTTTGTTCGAAAATCGCCTCCAGTGCAACGGAACGTATCTTGTCTATGTGTAGCTTGATGTGCTGGCATGTGTACAATTTTATAAATAAAAAATTAAATATAGTAAATTCATGTAAAAACGCATGCAAAAATAAAATAACTAAATGATTTTATGACGAAACCGAAAGAGTACTTGAAATATTAACATGGTTACAAAACATCTACTACCTAAAAACTTGTCTCGCGCCCGGGCAAGCAAACACACACACACACTCACGCGCAGACACACATACCCACATGCGCGCACACACGCACACGCATGCACACACGCACACGCATGCACACACACACACACACACACACACACACACACACACACACACACAC